ACTCATTTTTGGGGGTCCCTGACCCCGTTTTTGTTCCCCAGACGTGGTGAGGTCAGCGGTGGGGGCGGGGCTTTGGGGCGTGGCCCTGGGGGTTTGGATCGGCCTCTTCCAGACCCGCCGCGGCCAATGGGGGGCCTTGGGCGACGCCCTCAGCTTCACCCAGCCAATGGGAGTGCCCTGAGCCCCCCCCCCCGGCCAATCGGAGCGTCCCAAGGGCCGAGGGGGCGGGGCCACGCCCGGCCAATAGGAATACCCCATTGCTGGGGGGGCGGGGCTTCACCCGGCCAATGGGAGCACCCGGATGGCCCCCCCTCAGCCAATGGGAGCGACCCAATGGCCGAGGGGGCGGGGCTTCATCCGGCCAATGGGAGAGCTCCGAGCGAAGCCCATCGGCCAATGGGAGAGCAGCGCAGGTGAGGGCGGGGCTTAAAGTGGCCAATGGAGTGGGGGGGAGGGGCTTCAATTGACCAATGGGAGAGGAGGGTGTGTTGAGTTGAGGGCGGGGCTTAAAGGAGCCAATGGGAAAGCCCAGGGGAGTGGGAGGGGTTTGAAGCAGCCAATGGGAGGCCAGGAGGGGCAGGGTTTGAAGCAGCCAATGGGAGAGCTCAGAGAGGAGGGTGGAGCTTAAAGCAGCCAATGGGAGCGCTTAGAGGGGAGGGCGGAGCTTAAAGCAACCAACGGGGGAGCCCCGAGCACCATCGGCCAATGGGAGAGCTCAGAGACGAGGGCGGGGCTAAAACCCACCAATGGGGGAAGGGCGTGGCTCGGCCCAGCCAATGGGAGATCGAGGGGGGGTGGAGCCAAAGTGGGTGTGACCCCAAAGGGGGAGGGGCCAAAGCCGAGGGGGAGGGGCCAAAAAAAGGCACCATTGACCTTCCCCACCCCCTTCCAACAGGAACGATGACGTCATGTGACCTGTGACCACGCCCCCATCTCCAGACCACGCCCCTTCTCCCCTCCCCCTTTTTTAGAGCCCCTCCCCCCAATAAAGAGCGTTGGCCCCACCCCCCGACTCACGTGTTGTCACTGGCCACGCCCCCTCATTTGCATACACACATAGCCTTTATTGCGGGCATGGCCACATGGAAGGGGTGGGGTCGATGGGTGGGCGTGGCCTCGGGGTGGGCGTGGCCTCACTGGCGCTCGTAGATGATGCGCAGGAGGCGCAGGCTGGGCCCGTAACGCTGCTGCTGGCGCTGGGCTGCCTCCCGCCACCTAGACCAGTATAGACCAGTATAAACCAGTATAGACCAGTATAAACCAGTATGGGTCACTATAAACCACTGCAGACCAGTATGGACCAGTTACACCCAGCACAGCCCCTCCAGTCACCCCCAGTGCTGCTGCTGGCGCTGGGCTGCCTCCCGCCACCTAGACCAGTATAGACCAGTATAAACCAGTATAGACCAGTATGGGTCACTATAAACCACTACAGACCAGTATGGACCAGTTACACCCAGCACAGCCCCCCCAGTCACCCCCAGTGCTGCTGCTGGCGCTGGGCTGCTTCCCACCACCTAGACCAGTATAGACCAGTATGGGTCACTATAAACCACTACAGACCAGTATGGACCAGTACGGACCAGTTACACCCAGCACAGCCCCCCCGGTGCCCCCCAATCCCCTCCCAATCCCCTCCCAGTCCCTCCCAGTGCCCCCCAATCCCCTCCCAGTGCCCCCCAATCCCCTCCCAGTGCCCTCCAAACCCCTCCCAGTGCCTCCCAGTATAAACCAGTATAAACCAGTATCCCCAGTATGACTCTCACCGCTGCCGGACCCGTTTCCAGCGCTCCATGTTCTTGTAGATCAGTGATGTAATTGAGGGGGCGGGGTCTGGCGGCTGCAGGGGCGGGGCCATCGCGGTGATGTCACATGGAGGGGGCGGGGCCAGAGGCTCCCCAAAGGGAGGGGATTTTGGGGGTCCCAGGGGGGATTTTGGGGGTCCCAGGGGGAGTTTTGGGGGGATTTGGGGGTC